GTGGTGGTGGGGGTGGTGCTGGGAGGCTCCGATGGTGTTGGCGTGGGAATAGTTGTCCGTGTGGGTGGAAGGGACACTGTGCTCACTGTGGACGAAGGTGGGGCTGTTAGAAACAGCAGGGACAGAGAAAACAGATGCAAGATGCATGAGTGGGACACAACATGCACTGAACAGAAGTTATGTGTTAGGCAGCTGCCTGAAACCCATAGCGGTCAACCCACTCTTATCACAGTAAAGGTCTATATCACTAGGCCTTCCTTTCCAGCCCCAGAAGGTAGACCTGTTCCAAATCAATGCACAGACAGGGTCATGACAATCCTTTCCTAGCAAAGAGACTAGGGATGTCGCTGTAATGTGCTTTTCACTAAATCGAAAATACATACCAATAGGTAAGACATGAGGAGGAGTAAGGCTCTGTGAGGTTTTCTATCTGCGCATTATTACTTAGAACACCTCGCTATCTCATGGAGTAAGAACTGAGAGGGGAAGTTGTGGTCTGGGAAGGAAATATGCACAGGAATATGTTCCTGCCTTGATTGCCATGTAATTTCCCTTTGGTGCAATGTCAGCCTGATGAAAAGGTTCACAGAGTACTAGTGGATCTCAGCAGCCAAAGACCACAGTTCACAGCAAGTGGCAGCCTGCCAACTGAAACTGTTCCCGAAAGCCTGCCAGTGGAATCCTTCCTTCCTAGATCTATAACTACAGGCAAACGTTAGCACTGACAGGAAAAGCAGGAGGAGAAAGGGAAGGAATTCTGCACAGCCCCACATAGACAATGCCTAAAATGATGGTACTCTAAATCAAGGCCTACTCTAATCTCACACAAGGGGTCCTTCTGGGAATCTTCTTTCCAGCAGAAGAATAGAGCTCCAAACCAGCATAAGCAAGACTTCCTGCCAGCTCAATATCTGCTATGGAGATGACAGGCCTTTAATAGCTGACGGCCCTTTATTTCTCCTGTGGCAAAGCAAGAGCAGAGAGTATTGGTCTGCCAAATACCTGGAGAGGTTGAAGTTACTGGGGTGGTGACTGATGGTGTGAATTCGCTTGTGATGGTTGGGGTGGGTATGGGCATGGTGGTAAGTGTTGTTGGCTGCCTGGCTGTAGTCGTGATGGGTACTGTTGTGCTGGTGGTGGTTGAAGTTGCAGTTGGTGTTGGACTCAGTGTACTTGTAGTCTCACAAGAAATTTCATGCCACTCACAACAGTTTACCCTGATTTCATAATTATAGCAAAGTTGCCACAGAGTTGCATCTTGCTCCTCATTTTTACAGATTAGTCCGTATGTAACATTACACTCTACTTTCTGTCCAAGTTCCTCTAAGCTCACATCGGTCCTATCTTTAGCCCTGCATTCAATTCTGTCAGGAGCTTCACATATTTTGTTTCCATGTTCACTTCTTATTGCATCGTAGGTTTCATAGTCACCGCCATATTCTTCAGGTTTACTAACATCAAACCATTCAGTCCAATTACAGATTAATCCAAAGCATGGAGCTGCAAGAAAAGACAGAATTTCTTACAGAGAACATTCTGAGAAGATTGATTTTGTATTCTATTCCATTAAGAACTAGAGCAATGCATTGCAACTTGTTATTTTTCTAAGAGAAGAGAGTTCTGAAATTGGTTCTGTATTACCACGTTTTTCAACAGGAAGCTTTGCATCAAAATTAAATCACCAAGCTGAAGCCTTTAAAGGTCTTTCTTCTCACTATACTTACCACATTTTGGTTATTTTAAAAAATTATTTATTTTTGTTTTAAATATATATTTCTGTAGTGGCCGTCTTTAATTTACTCTTTCTTAGAATGTTCATTTGACATTTTTTAACAACGTAGTTTTCTATTTAAAACTTACTTGTAGTTACTGGAGGGCTTGTAGTGGTAACTGAAATAGAAAAAAAGATTACTCTATCATCTGCAAGCTTTAGAAAAAAAATAATAGTAGTTTTAAATACCTTAATTATATTTTTTTGCTGAGACTACTGAGACAATTTCTACTATCCCAGCAGGATATTGAGATGCTAACATGTTTTTCAGAATTAGGCAGGCACCCTGTACATTTATAGTTACAATTTCTTCCATGAGAAGTAGATCAACTCTCTTTGAGTGTTAAAAGTGTTAAAAATCTTTCTTAGTGTAGTGTGATAAAACTATTCATAAGTATCACTCTGTGTCAACTATAAGCCCGTATACTTGTACATTCTATCTTTAAAGTATTTTTCTTAAAGAAAATAATTTTTAGATGTGCATCTCTGTTGAAGATTTACCTGTGGTGGTAAGAGTACTGGTAGGAAAGGAGGTTGAAATGGTTGTAGGTGAAGTAGATGTTGGACAAGGATAAGTACTTCCAACAACTATAGAACCATTTTCTGCACAAACGTATGTTATACATATGTTGCCATCCTGTATTTGTGCCACAGGTTCACCCACTTTATAATGCGTTCCATTGATGACACAAGGACACCCTGCAAGAAAGAGCTTTACTGTGCAATTTTTCTACTACCAGGTAAGAGACAAAGGCAAAATACTTACGGACAAGTAAGCATTTACATGAATCATGCATGCTCCTTTCAGAGCTATACATGGAGCTTAGATCTAATACATCACACTAATTTATCTTTACATTTAGAGGATCATTAAAGCATATTTAATAAAGCCCTGCATAAAACGCTTGGAAGAACAGACTTACAAACCAGGTTTTAAAATGTTCTGAGAGAAATAACAACTACAATTTACTATCTGACACTTTTCTATAATACTACATGTTCTGGGAGTAGTGAAATCCACTAGTTTGGATATGGGACATGGGAATAAAGAATAAAGGGACATGAGAAAAAGGTTGAACAAGAAGTACTAACAGCAAGGTTCAACAAAAGTGCTGCCCAATTTTCGTTGGCCACAACTTTCACTTGCACTGGAAAGAATTATTCCAAATCAGTACTAAGTCTTTTGTAGAGACAGACATAGCAGTTCCATGCATTTTTTTCTTTTTATTTGTAGAAAAACCCAAATGTTATTTACCTGGGATTGGTGTACACTGTATGGATCCTGAGGGGTCACAGAAACTAAAAGCAAAATTTTCAAAAATCAAAATGTTGCAGATGTTTTATGGCACCTGTTAGCAGTGCCAAGAGCACAAAAACATAGAAATTTGTCACTTGATCTTCATTCATACTACTGGATATTTTTCTGGGTGTAATATTTTGCAATATTGCCTAACATTATTTCATTCAAACTGTCATCACTTTCATTCTTTAAGTACAACATCTTAAAACTATCATGAACCACTTTGTGTTGCAAGTTGCAATAGTGTAATAATAACAACTGTTTTTCAGAGCAATGAACTTATAGCTAGATCAGTATTTTTTTGCCTCTGAGGAGTCATAGATGTCAGTGCTATCATTAGTAAGGTCCTAGGAATGAGCAGTTAGGACTCAACTATCTCTATCAGGGCTAGTACAGATCATTTCAGACTACAGTGATTTTAAAATCGCAGTTTTAAGTGAGAATGCAGGGCAGAGTAGCCACTCTCTTCCCAAAGAGCCATGAGAATCAAAAGGTTGTTCTAGAGACACACCCAGGTTTCATGCCATTATATCATTTATGACACTTCGAAGAGTATATTTAATGAATTTGATAATACACTTACTATAACGACACTATCCACCTGAAATCTGGATTTTATAGGTTTGGAAAATTGTGAATGAAAAGTTTAAAATCTATACGTATTGTAAGTGCAGCATTTTTTGAGTTTAAGTCTCAACTGGAATAAACGGCATTGTTCCTCTGATTTGTATAGGTAAATGCTAGAATATACCAGCTCTTCAGCTGAAGTTGCATCTCTATTTGCTTGAGGCCTAGTAAAGTAAATTAGGGGCTCAGCATACATAAATTCTTTCCTGAATTACTGCAAATGTTTTTGCATTTTTTATATACCATTTTGTACAGTTGTCTTCTGTGGGTATTTCATTCCCAGGGACAAAAGGTATTCCATTGATGTAACACCAACATTGATCTTCAGGCACACATTCCTTTGTCTCTTCATTATAAACAGGCTTGTCCTTAGGGCATCTGGGGTAGCAACCTGTTGATGACAAGTAGAACAGTATACAGGATGAAGAAAAAGTATAAAGAGTTAACTCAATGATACCTTCTGAAAGTAAATGATTCTCACTAAACCAAGCATAGTGAAAGAAATAAAAAATTTCCAATTCAAATTAATCCTTGGACAATTATTCTTTACAAAAGACTTAAATCAAACAATTCTCATTGATAATACTGGGGTGAGGAGGATTAAATAAGTTTAGTCATGAAAACTAGGGAAGTTGTTTTTTTCTAGTTCAAGATCTTGGAGAAACCCCTAATTTATATTAATTTCTATGGGCAGCTAGTAATTTTAAGACAAAGAAACAGCCCAATTTTTCTACAGATATTGAAATGTGATCACTATATCAATAATACTTTTGTGAAGAATATGGAAGTGGATTAATTAACAAAAGGTTTTTCACTACATTTATTGGAACACTAGACCTTGTTTATGTGCCTTTAATAGACCAGGTATCTCGACCCCAAACAGATAATTTATCTGCATTTTTCTGTACCCTTGGCCAGTGACCCAAACCCCACCTGCAAGGGATTAAACGTCTGTCAATTCTCATTGCATTTTTCATGTAAATACACTTTTAAAAAATTATTGTGTCCTACTTTCAAATAAACTCTCATAAAGTCCAAATTCTTAATTACATAAAGTCCTCTTTATACTGATTGGAGTTGTAAATAGCCTATAAACTGAATGACCATGTAATTAACTGGTACTTAAAAGTCACTTCACACTGCCAGACTGTACTAAAGATGTCCTAACAAAAGTTGTGTTCTATATTTCCACTGAAGATAAAAAACAAAAATAATTTAGAAAGATAATTGGATATATAATAATATGCCTTCTGACACTTTCCAAATCTTTCTAATAATCTAAGACAATCTATTTCAAAACAGAGTTAACTTTTTTTTTTAATATTTTGGTTAGGGTTTTTTGGGTTTATTTTTTTTTCTTTCCAGCAGTTCAAGGATTAAAATAGCAAAGTCAAACTCTGGGCAGTTCTTTCCAATCCCTAAACCTGAGACAACTGTTTCCAGTCCAGACCAAAATGATTGTGTGGCCAAAAACGTGGCTGTTTTTTCGAACTTTATCATGTGGTAAAACAGAAGATATTTGTAAAGTCATTCACATTCTTGGATCGTTGCAGTCCCCATAACGTGAAATTCCTTTTCAGTTATTAAGCACAAAGACTTTCACCTACTAATATCATATCTCTACATACTTTGAAGAGTTCAATGGGATTTAAATGGCTTGTGTATCCTGTAAGTGGGATGGAATGCAGAATAACCTGTTTTAGCCTCATATCTTGGTCTTAAAGCCTAAACAAAAAACTATAAATGAAATACACTAAAAATGGAGGTAGCCCCCAGTAGCCCTCTGACAATATTTTGTGGTCTCCGTTAAGAATCCAATATATAGCAGCATCAGTGTGTCTAATATCAAAGATATTTTCCACTGTAAAGATAGGAGTATGCTGCACATTAATCTGATAAGGTCAAGATGGATTTGATGCATGAAGAATGATGAGGTTAAAAAAATCCCAACTATCAGTAACTTGCTTCTTTGACACGTAAAATGTTTTCCTTCTCTTGAAATGCCCTTAGGATGAGATGCAAAATAACAAAGGTGTAATAATCTTGCATGTTTCAGAATATTATCCAAGCAGAGACCTAGTTTTATGGCTGACAGCAATGTAACTATCACCCACTGATGTTAATAAATAATAAATTACATTATAGGAAACATTTATGTAAGACTGGAGACAAATTCAACATAACAGATTTAGGAGCATCTTGTCAAGCTGACTGACCATTCCATATTCATTAAATGATACCTGGACAAAGTTATATGAAATAAAATACAAAAATGTCAAGGAATTTATTACCTTCCAGGTATGGTACTGAAAAGTTGGTGCTGACATTATTAATCATCCTGCAGGTCATGACATTACTGCCAGAAGGCTCATAGTGCCAGTCACACTCATTACGAGGGTTGTAGTAGTCACAAAATATCGCTGATGAGAAAAAAAGAAAAGCTAATTAAAAAGATGGTTGCCAGAATGCAGCTCTGATCAGGTCTTTAAAGGTACAAGCTAAATGAATCTACATGTTAAGCTAGCGAAATTTCTCTTGAGGTATAGGACCTGGACTTTCTTCTACTATACTTAAACATAGGGTACATCAAAATTTGGGGTCAAAACTCTGACCAAAACTTTGGGCCCAAGAATTTCATATTAAACACTCTAGCCTTAATCCAAATCAGAATGAATTTTTAAAATTAAAATATTTTACTTTCTGCTACTTAGAATCTCAAAATTTTGTTTTGAGCATTTTTTGGGGAAATATTAATTTAAATATTATTTTACATTATTTTATGATATACTGGTATGAGCATAAGCACCACTAATGGACACTACTTAATATACTTAGTATTGATTAGGTTCATCTACACAGCAGTACTTCTATATACTTTTGCTAAAATCAAATTCTGAATAATTTGAAAAAAAGAGAGGAGAAAGATAAAGAGGAGTTGCAGTTCACCAATTATCAAGCAAAATGGAAGGATGACTTGAACTAGCCTTAACTCATCTAAGTTTCCACCTACATGTACTTGGCTTGTTTTCAAGCCTGCAACCACAATAATTCAAAAACACAGTTGTGGTTCTAGGAGGCACCTGCATTGCATATGGAGCTCTAGTTGGTGGACTGAGATCTCAGAGCAGCTGTATAAAGCTACAGGGCTAACACCCAGCATGGCAGTCTGACAAAAAGTAAAACTGGCTGATTTGACTTAATCAAGTTAAAAATAAAACAAGAAAAAGAAAGGGAAAGAAAGGGAAAGAAAGGGAAAAAAGGGAAAGGGAAAGGGAAAAGGAAAAGGAGGAAAAGCCAGGCTGAATAAAAGATAATTGAAATATACAAATTTACTCATTCTGTTTGTTCCCTGATATGCCATGAAAATAAATTACATTGCATAGCCAGCACAACCTTGCAGTGATAGTATTAATGATTTATTTGATAGGCTTTCTGATAGTAGCCAGAAAGATACAGTTGTGTTTAACTGTTACTCACGGCATATATCAGGAGTTCTCCAGAAAACACAGGCCTGAGCCTTGGTACATTCTTGAGCATATGCAGCAACTGCAGAACAGAAGCACTCACAATCTCCACCACTGTCACAAGAACAGGCATCATGAACACAAGCTTCATAGAAAGGAATTGGGTCCACCTGTTGGGGAAAGAAATGTTGCCCCAGTTCATCTCTAAATTAGTTTTCAAACTAGTAAGCTTGAGAGATCTCTTGAGACATGGGAATTGAGCTGGGCAGGAATGAGACTGTTTCTAAGAATTACCAAATCACAGACAAACATTATAGGCTTGAAGCTGCTTTAATGTATTTTGGATAATAATAGACTTAAAGTAATATCATACCTTCATAATTTGCTATGACTGAAACAATAAAATAGGAGTCCTTGGCAGTGCCCACATTTTCTAACAGATTTCCATTTTACTGCTCTCAAAACCAAGTTGGATTGGTGCCAATGAAGTCTTGTCTTCCAGCAAGCTTTGCCAACCAAGCGGTGAGCAATATCAGAAAGGTTGCACTTCACAGCAAATATAAAGCAGAGAATTTTGTGCTTGCCAGTTTTTTGAGTTTATCTAATGACACATTAGCAAAACATTTCCACTTTTTTGCTTGGGACTGCAAGAAAAGAAACTTAGACTGGATTTTAGCTGCTGAAGGAATCAACAGAGAAACACATATTGAACAACCCCATGCAACGCTATAGGCTTGGAGAAGAGTGGCTGGAAAGCTGCCTGGCGGAAAAGGACCTGGGGGTGTTGGGCGACAGCTGGCTGAATATGAGCCGGCAGTGTGCCCAGGTGGCCAAGAAGGCCAATAGCATCCTGGCTTGTATTAGAAATAGTGTGGCCAGCAGGAGTAGGGAAGTGATCGTGCCCCTGTACTCGGCACTGGTGAGGCCGCACCTCGAATACTGTGTGCAGTTTTGGACCCCTCACTACAAGAAGGACATTGAGGTGCTGGAGCACGTCCAAAGAAGGGCAATGAAGCTGGTGAGGGGTCTAGAGCACAAGTCTTATGAGGAGCGGCTGAGGGAACTGGGGTTGTTTAGCCTGGAGAAAAGGAGGCTGAGGGGAGACCTCATCGCTCTCTACAACTACCTGAAAGGAGGTTGTAGCGAGGTGGGTGTTGGTCTCTTCTCCCAAGTAACAAGTGATAGGACAAAAGGAAATGGCCAGGGGAGGTTTAGATTGGACATGAGGAAAAATTTCTTCACTGAAAGAGTTGTCAAGCATTGGAAGAGGCTGCCCAGGGAAGCGGTTGAGTCACCATCCCTGAAGGCATTTAAAAGACATGTAGACATGGTGCTTAGGGACATGGTTTAGTGGTGGACTTGGCAATGCTAGGTTAATGGTTGGACTTGATGATCTTAAAGGTCTTTTCTAACCTAAATGATTCTATGATTCTATGATTCTAAGTCAATTAAATTAACTCTTTGTGACTTTTCCACTGTAAGTTAAGAACAAACTGTTGTTAATATTACCATACTTCAGGAAAGAGACAAGAAATAGAGAGAAGTGTTCTCTGTGCACTGTGCTCTGGAAGCTGTGGGCCTGACATAGTGTTTGCTATGACAATTTGGAGGCACAGTACTAGCAGCTAAGCCTGTCTAAACTGCGCAATGTCGGTGGTTTCCAAGAAGATCCCTTCTGTGGGTTGAATATTATAAGGAGCAGTGGTGTCTTCAACAGCCACCTTTCAAGTATAGTATGCATTTCTGTCAGAAAATGGGTCTGATGATCGCAAGGCCTTTCAGAACTTACAGTATTGACAGTGTCTCAACAAGAGATGGTGCAACTGCAGCACACACAGACCTATTCAGGCTAGATTTATGAAGCTAGCTTGCACAGCAGTAGCAATGAAACTATGGTGATGAATATGGGCTTGTACAACCATGGCTGGCACCACTACTGTCACAGTCCTGTTGCCACAGATACTCAAACTTCTTTGACTAAGGCTAGCTGAAATGTGCTGACACCTGTAGCTGTACTGATGACTTAATTGAAGATCACTCTATTTAACCATCTCTTCATTCATTTCTGATGATCTCTCTGCTTCTGCAGTAACAGAAATGCACTGTGCTGTCCCATCACTTACTGCCCTCTACAAACCTTGGAGTGACAAATTTTAAAGACTTCACTCCGGATGATGCTGCATTCTTTCTCTGCCCAGGACTTCCGATGTGGTTTCACATCACAGGGCTTAATCTCTTGTGTGACATCTGGGCACATGGAAGACTGTTTCCAGGAATTCCCAAACTTCAGAGCATTAGTCTCCTGCAGCCCACTCCTTGTTGTAAAGTCGTTGTTAGACTTGTCATCAAAGTTGCCACACAGACCACACACTTTGCCCTGGAAAAGAAAATTAACATATCCACAGCTTTTAAATGTACCATGGAAGTGAGACTTTAGCAAAGTAAGAGAAAAACATTGACATTAAAAAGGACAACTGATTCTCTGTGTAAATGACATATTTTCATCTTTACTTCCGAATCATTTGTACAAAAATTAAACCTTTATTTGTCTATGTACTCAGCAAACTATTCAGCTGCCATGTCTTCCTTACTTGAAACAAATGATATCTAGTGTATTTCCATGTCTCTGTGGTAGCCCTTCATCCAACTTAAAACACTAAAGAGTGGCTAAGCCTCTTTCAGCTGAGAAGAATTAATTTATTTTTCATTCTTCTCAATTTATCATAACTCAGCTATTAATATAAACCTGAGGGAATTTAATTCTGCTCCAAACTGTTTTTATTAAAAGCTTCTAACATAATGAACACCATTTCTTCATCCATGGAAAAAAAATGACAGTGACTCATTTTTCTCGAAAGAAAGAATTTAACAACTTACCCACAACAGTGAATTTTTGGTAGTGTTATTTAAGGTACATCAGCCCCCTCAGGCAACAGTATGTCCCTGTTTATACAACCCCACACCTCCTCAATCAGCCCAATGAATTCAGTACTCTATAATTCAGCATGCTGATTTTCAGAAATCAGAACCATCTCTATGCATTGCATAGGGAGTTTGGTTTTAACTCAGGGCTGAGATTCCATGCAGGTTTCCAAGTACATGTAGAGTCATGTACATGCATGTACAGTGCATGTACAGAACACGTACAGTTTGCATCCCCTAAATTACTTTGGGTGCTTGGCTTTTAATATTTCCAAACTCAGAATGCCTTAGACATTTAGCTTTATTGCAATCATATGCTATGCATCCTCTGCAATGCATTGTGATGGACTGTAAGGAACTCCAGTAGCACCTCTGCAAGCTCTGGTAGTAATAATGCAAGCTAATCATCAATGTGCAAAGGATATAGGAATTAAACACGGAGTCAGAATAAAAGAACATTTATGTTTCCTTATCTCATTTATCTATTCATACTACTACTTCAGAAAAAGACAGACAGGTCCTAACTTTGTAATCAGGGGTCAACTTGATGAAAACAGTAGTCTTCTTATCCCAGATAAGCATCACACCATTGCTAGCCTCAATAACGAGGTAGAGGCCTACTGTCCTGTTCCAATAATGCACATCATCACCAATATCTCGCTGAATTTCTTTATAATCTTTGTTCTCCAATTTCAGTTCTGTTTTCTGAAAGATAAAAAGAGAAATATTGTAACTTTTATGATGAGATAAAATATTAGATGCTCATAACAATACAACTCTTTCTGAAACCAGTAGCTCAAAGTCTGGGATGACTTTCCAAGGTGACAGAAAGTGGTGTAACACCGTTGAGAGAGGTTTCAGTACTTGAGAATCTACACCTTTACAGATTAATTTGAAAGGGCCTCTAACCTTTACTTGTAATAGCTGCTTTTAGGGATGTGGCTTTGGAGCATTACTTTTTTTGAAATACTTGAATATCGATATATACTCACTGAGTATCATTACTCACCCCTAGAAACATTTTAATAGCTTTTGAGCAGGTGACTCCTGTAGTTCCACAAGGGACATTCTCTGTGATGATACTGAATGAGCTGCTGGAATTTTTGTCGCCACAAAAATCCTATTGAAAAAGGAAAAAAGCAGCATAAGAAAATTAGGTAGAATATTTAATTTTTACTTCAGTCTCATAATTATTACTATTATTTAAATCTCCACAATTTATAAATTGTTACTGCTGCTTCATATGTGAAATCCTACATACATATATTTTTACAGATGCATGAACATATACACATACATCTCTGCATACATATAAACTGCTAATACAGTCTCATGTGTGGCAAAACCTGTGAAACAAGTGGGCCAATAAAACAAAATGAGGAATATATCTTTAAATAGAAATATCTTTGTTTTGTAAACTTAAAATTTTGATTTATTTCACAACTGATAATGAGCTGTTAGCTCTCAATATAAAATAGTCCTGTTACATACAATTTATGACCATTTTTTTTTTATCAGAAAAAAACCCCAACATTCACACAGCTTGCCTGCACTGAAAATACAGAATTTGTCTTGGCAGAATGTGTAAACACCTCAGGAACAGTGATGGCAGGCAATAAGGAATGACAAAACCAAAGAGGAAAGTAGATCTTCAAGGCAATTGGATGCCATTTCAGCCCCCCCAATAAGCATTACCTGAGTAGCCGCATATTCACAACTCCCATCAAAGTCATAGAATTTTCCATCAAAGGTGATATAATGGCCACTTCCATATATCATACAAGTCCCATAGCACACATATTCAGTGCAGCTCCAAACCCCTTTTTGGCAGGTACTAGAAGAGAGCAGAAGAGTTGAATTTTCAGATTGCACCAAGAGTGTGCTGTCTGGAAAACTGCAGAACAAACCAAGCAGCTACCTGATACAATGTGATAATGTACACAATACCCATTTCAGTGTCTTAAGGCTCAGCTTCAATAGTTTAGCCTGTTTTTAAGCCTATAACATGATTTTTAACTCTGGCCAGCTACATTTTTTAATCTGATAGCATTTATATTTAAAAAATGAGTGCACTTTCCCAATAAGTGATGCCTACTGAAAACAGAGGTAGCTATTACTCCAATATTTTCAGCACAATCTGTATTTCCTCAGATAGAAAAAATTATGCCTGAAAACGAAGGTTTATACTTGCAGCTATGTCAGTCACTGTAGTACATAAGCCTGTACTTAACATGACTATTAATTCACTGCATAGAATATATTCTAGAAGAGAGTACAAAATTATAACTTACCAGGTGTTGCAGTCCACTGTTATCTTCTGTCCAGGAGAATACCACTGGTTGTTATGAATGCATGGGCAGTCCTTCTCCTCAACACAGCCCCCTTTCCCATCATCAAATAGGTCTTCAGGACACACACAGCCTGAGACACACTCTGCCTGGAACTAAGGAATATAAGGAGAAATTGTTACTTTATGAAAAAGCCCTGCATTTTTCTTCCACTTCTTCATAAGCACTCAAGTAAAAACTGCATTTATAACCAAACAGCCTAATATTGATTAGTTTTATAAGGTTTTTCTTTCTAGGTTTCTAATGTTTTTCTTTTCTTTTTTGATTGTCTAAGAACCCAAATCATATTTCACTTGGGAGGTATGACCCTACTGAAGACACTGTAAAAAGGAACAAGAGAGGGAAACCATAAGGAGAATCATCATGAAATTGTCAACAGAGTAATATCACTGCAGAGAAAAGAAAGGAAGATTAAACCAAAGAGAAATAAACTGTTAGTTACAACTGCATTTTCTGTGTTGCACTGTATCATTTAAAGAATGCAGAATAAAGGAAACATGACATGGAGAAAAATTGAATACATACATGATCAGTTCGAGGAGTATGACAGCTAAGTTGTACAGGTGTTTGTGAAGTCCACTTCGGGGATGCATTGCAGTCAAAGTACATCTTGTTAGAAGAACATTCTGTGGCATCTGAAAGGTACATTGTTGGTTTAGTTGAATCAAGAAAAGGCAAAAGAAATGTGTGTGAAAGGTGGTAGTTACTAAGACAGGAATCTCAGGGTATGTCTACCCTTATGAAAAAAAGAGACTCGGTGAAGACAGAACAAAGTGAAAATGTGCAACTGTTTCACATAAAGAGAAAAAACAAACATGCAAAACAAATAAGCGGAGAATTCAAATGGAAAGTGTAGGTTTGGGTTTGAAGGTTGGCTTATGGTTTTTATTTTATTTTACTTTAGAAAATGTCACTTACTCTTCGTTCTTATTGTCACTGAAGTACACTGGACCTTTGCATTTCGGCAAACACTAGAAAAGAAGTGAAGTAAGTACAAATTAAAAAAAAAGTAAGCTCAGTGTCTTAAATTTAAATCTAAGGATTTGTTTATATAAATTTGACAGTATTTATCAGAGACGTCTTGCATAATTTCTACTGCTATTTCAAGGTGAACTCTATTGAAGCGCACTCATGAATTTTCACTTGGAGAAAAAATGTAGCAAGATTTTAGGCATAATGCACAGAAAGGTTATGTTTTAAGTAATGACAGCTATTCTATTAATCCTTAATACCATGCTTTTTGATGACTCAGGAAACAGATAATAATGATAATTTAAATCAAAGCGTTCATTTGGATACACAGTATAATTTCATGCCTATTCAACTCATATGTTTCAAATTTGTTGGCCTGTATATTTCATCTGCCGGATGAGAGAAGGAAGTATTTCACAGTTTGCACTGATGATTCATGCAGCAAACAGTTGTCAGAGTTCATGATAAAAAATACCAGCATCGTGAAAGTTGCTTTCAAAAGCCTATGCTACAGTAAATACATATCAAGGGGACCTTCCTCCAGTGGAAAACACAAGCAATCTGTCTCTGACAGAAAAGGAAACAGCACCATAACATTATAGCTAGCCTTTTATCTTCCTTTTACCCCTCTGCTCAACAAAGCCCTATTAACAGTGCAGCTTCAGAGCAATGTTTATCTGTGAAGGCCAGTACTCACACCTCTAAACAAAGCTGCACTTCTCAGTTATTAATAAATGACATTGCAACAGGATGATACTTTGCTCAGCATGAAGATGGTGTGAAACATATTACAAATGTTCATTAAAGCACCAAAAAAAGCTAAGCAGCTTACACCTAATAAGTAAATTTAAAAAGGGCTTTTATCACAACAAACAAGAAGCCACAATAAAACATACCAACGTTCTCCATCTTTTGTGACATATTCCCCTGGTACCAAGTATGATCCCTTGTAAAAACATGGGCACTTGGAGATGGGCACACAGGTACCCTGGTTATCCAAGTATGTATTATATGGGCAGCCACAGCCATCCACAGGAGCAAAGTCTTGCAAGCAATGTTTTTCACCATCAGCAAGGGAACGACAGGTTTGCTGGCACATTGTAAGGTTGTAAAGGAAGATTTGATTTCCTGGGCAGGCAGACACTTCACTAGCTGGAGAGAAAATAAACAAACTGATAAATAAGGGATGCAGGATGGACAAGTTAACCTTGACATTTCTGTTTTGGTTTCTTTGGCTGTGCAGCATGTAATGGTAAAAATGGTAAAAATCCCTTAGATTTTATTAAAGTACAAAAATATCATAAGTCACAAGTAATGCTAGCCTAACTTTGTTTACCGGTTGAAGACTTCTTTTTAACTGCTACTAATAGTTTTTACTTTCATACCCATATTTGTTTCACATACTGATTATCAGAGAGCAAGCACAATATAATAAAATCGTAGTCTCAACAATACTGTACTGTTGATGAAAAGCAAGCACAATGATAAAAAAGACACTGATAAGCAAAGACAATGTAAAAGCCGTGATGGCTGGGATTCCATTAGTCAAAGACAGAAACAGCATTATTATTTAAACTGCGGAAAGAAGGTGAAAGTGAAAAATATTGCTTTCTACTTTTAAATGTCATGAACAAATGACAACTAAGGAATATAGTAAACATTATAAGCATTGTCTCTTTTAAGTCCATTAGACATTTCTAAGATACTCCAAATCCCTTAACATTGAGATCACTGACAACCAAATTCAGAGAGAACCTGCTTATTTCTCGTGGTTAATTAATTCCACGGCAGTTACAGTTCCACTACTTACTGCAGACACTTTTTCTCCAGCCTCCCAGTATGATCCCTTTGAAAGCACAGGCTCTTGAATAAGAGGACAGGGCAGCACACAAGCATTCTTCATTGTGTTCGCAGAGGCAGGTGTCATATTTACATTTCTGAATAAAGAACAAAAGGGTCAGTAAGCCCATAGGAAACCAATGGGCAATTGTAACTCAGTTGCTATGAAATATCCTGTGTCCTTTTTCTGACATTGTTTTTATTAATTCCCACAATCAGAGAACAGTGGAAGGAATGGACAAAGACCAGAGACTGAAAGTGCTGCTTCATTTCATACACAATGAAAACGTTTGGATGCTTCTCCTAATCTAAGCCAAGCCTCTTGAACCTTTAAAAAGTAGCTAGCCTCCTAACAACGCCTTTCTTAAAGGATTTTGATACCATTCTTTCTCAGTTACAACTTAGAAATGCAGAGATCCATAAAAATAATAAAAAAAAAATAATGGCAAAATATTAACCAGATCTATGAAGATCTTCACAAAATTTGAGCTCAGACTGAGTTCCAGTTATGAGCAAAGACTTAGGAATTTCTCCTTTTTTTCTCAGGTAAGCCTCACTTACTGCTCAACAGTAATGAGCACAGGGGAAAAAGAAAACATGGAGATTCTGGCATGAAAATCCCAACCAATACAGGAAACTTAATAAATATTTACTTTTTTTTTTTCCTTGACTTATAGCAACTAGTGTGTAAGGGTAGACTTAAACTTTCTGTACACACCTGCATCTCTTGAATCTTCTTTCCAGTTCAAATATCCAATCCAATAAAAATGTACATTAAATACAAAACATAAGAAACCAGAACAAATTTACCTTTTTCTTCAGCAGCATTCCATAGGAATCTCATCATAGGAGATACTTTGGATGCATGTTATGCTGCCTCGGTTAATCACTGTAAAAACTTCCCCAGCTCTTATGGGCAAACTACTCAGTAATGTCTCAAATGTTTGAACAATGATAAATGTCTACAGTCATCAATCTGAAATAAAGCAGTACTAAAAAGAGTGCAAGATTACAATACCTTATAGTAGTCTGAAGGATCAATGATTAAGTGACATCTTGCAAAAGGACCGTCTGAGTTTTTCAGCAAAGAACACCAATGCTCAGCATAATTTGCTGCAAAAGAGGAGAAAAATGAAATTATATCATCATATTAACTACATTCACTTATCTTCCTTGTGCCATGTCTAGTTATGTTGTCACACAAATGCAATGCAACAATACAAATGAGAGAACTGTGTGCACTTTTGGGAGTGGAGAAACTACATGCAGTCACTGTACCTATATTTCTATTTGCTGATTCAGTTATCTAGCAGTAGACATGCAATCATAAAATAAAAAATCGTACCTCACTGCTGCAACTTGTCTACATGGAATTGTGACAGCCCTTTCCATTTGAGCACCATAATGCTAAGTTAAACATAGGGATAAATAATACTAGGAAATACAAGCTGCCTTTGCAGATAATACAAATTAATGACCTTGCTTCCCTATCTTCCAGCTCAGGATTGCTCTACAATCACCCCCTAAATTTTCACTACAATTTGATGGGAAATCAGTGCTCGTATGTATACATACTTGCAGAAATGAATTATTAATTTGACAGTCCTCTAAAAAAACTTCAGTGCCACAGTACAACTCTTACACGCCTGTTGCAGTAATATACAGCAAATGCTCATTCTGGCAGAAGCCAACCATCTGACTTATTAGTGTGCTTACCACTTTCAATGCTGAGACTGCAGGGGTCTTCCAGCTTTTCTACCTGGTCTGTACAAGTGGACTGAGCTTTCCATGTGTTAGCAAAGGCAGATCCTGTAGCTTCTACCAGCCCACTGGCTGTTTTAAAGTCATCACCTTCCATTCCATTAAAGTTTCCACAAAGACCTATTGAAAAAGAAGGTAAAAATTTTACCTGATTATTACTTACTCTCATTCTAAAAGGTCAAAGGGAAAAGGACAACTGATCACAAACATTAGAAACAGAAGTTCATACAGCTGATTATTCCATCTCAATATTAATGCATACTGTAAGTACTGAAGATTTAGGAGCCCTATTTTAAATCTTTAACATCTTGAGAAGAATAGTCTTCATGAAGATATCTCTGCCTCAGGAGATCACCGCCCTAACCTGTATTTTTTATGCTTTCTGATAATATTAAAACCACAAAATGCACCAAAAGCCAGGTTTTGTGGATAGTTAAAAATTAAACTGAATACAAAAGAAAGGAATATTCTAAGAAACATTCATGTACTGGCACCGGAGTGATAGGTCACTTCAATATGGAATAATAAAAACGCATTTCTAGTTTGCTTGAGTCAATTCTCTTCCAATGTTTTGGTTTCTGCTTTTAGTTTCCTCATCTTGAACCAATAAGAAGCAGGAATTATCACTCATGTAAAGAATACATGACTCTTCAGCTGTGGAACAGCATGGCTTTGCTTCCCATTTAAATACACACTTGCCTTGAAGTTTTCCTTGAACTGATTGATCCACAGTTGCAAACAGCTGCATGACTGGAAACAACTGGATCTGCAGCTGAAGCCCAAAAGAAGTGTGTACAACAAGGTAGTAGGAAGATGGCTTGAATACTGAGAAGCTGGCTGAAAAACAAAACATGAACTGTGCAGTAAACACACACATAGGCTGCTGAAAGAAACACTTCTTGCTAGATTCTAAGGTATCACCTGCCATGAAAACTCTGACATCAGGATCAAATTAATCATTTTTTCCTCTAAAAATCGCTGGCCAACTAGATACAATGCTGGTCCCCACTAACTTAACAAGTTGATTACCTATAATGACTCATCCCTGGGATCAGAACCAAATTCAGATTTTCTGCAATACAGCTTCAATGCTAACTCATTAATTAATGCTGAGCAATCTGAAGAGCAAGAGATTTTCTGAGAAAGTATTATCCCAGCACTGTTGCATACAATAAATAATAGGTGTGTCTCTACAAGCCAATACTTCGCTAAGTACTACTACTACTAAAATGTTAGATGCTTATACACAAGTTAATCAAGTCATTATAGAAAAATCAGCAGAACTGACGTACAAAATCAGCATAATGGAGGAACTGGGCTTCCTAATTAGAATCATAGAATCATAGAATATTTTGAGTTGGAAGGGACCCGTAAGGATCATCGAGTCCAACTCCCTGCTCCTCACAGGACTACCTAAAACTAAACCATATGACCAAGAGCATCATCCAGATGGTCCTTGAACTCTGACAGGCTTGGTGCCCTGACCACTTCCCTGGGGAGCCTGTTCCAGCAACCGACCACCCTCCCAGTGAAGAATCTTTTCCTAATGTCCAATCTGAACTTCCCCTGACGGAGCTTTGTACCATTTCCTCGTGTCCTATCACTGGTCACCAGAGAGAAGAGATCAGCACCTCCCCCTCCGCTGCTTCTCTTGAGGCAGTTGTAGACTGTGATGAGGTCACCCCTCAGCCTTCTTTTCTCTAAACTGAACAAATCAAGTGAACTCAGCTGCTCTTCATAAGTCTTGCCCTTGAGATTTTTCACGATCTTGGTCATCCTCCTCTGGACACTCTAATAGTTTGATATACTTCTTATATTGAGGTGCCCAAAACTGCCCACAGTACAGTGCAGTGTAGAGTGGGACAATCACGTCCCTTGACCGGCTAGCTACGCTGTGCTTGATGCACCCCAGGACATGGCTGGCCCTTTTGGCTGCCAGGACACACTGTTGACTCATATTCAACTTGCCATCAACCCAAACCCCCAGAGCCTGTTCTCCAGGCTCTCATCCCCCAATTTCTATGTATAACCAGGATTACCCCATCCCAGGTGCAGAATCCGGCACTTGCTCTTGTAAATTTCATATGGTTGGTGATTGCCCAGCTCTCTAGTCTATTCAGATCTCTCTACCCTTGAGGGAGTCCACAGCTCCTCCTAATTTAGTATCATCGGCAAACTTACTTAATGTACATTTGACTCCTGCATCCAGACCATGTATAAAAACATTAAAAAGCACTGGCCCTAAAATTGAGCCCTGGGGAGCCCCACTGGTGACTGGCCACCAGCCTGATGTAACCTCATTTACTATAACTCTTTGAGCCTGACCTGTCAGCCAATTGTTAACCCAACGTATTATGGACTTGTCTAGCTGTGTGCTGGACATTTTGTCCAGAAGGATACTCTGAGAGACAGTATCAAAAGATTTGCTGAAGTCCAAAAAACCAACATCTACTGGCTAACCAATTTTTTATAGCAAATCTATTATTATATGCTCTATTTATCTATTTAATCTACTTATTAGATGGTCTATTTTATTGCCTACAGCACTTTAATTTCTCTGAACTTTCAGCTACACACTTTAATTGTTTTTGTGCAAGCATTCATGAATGTATCATCCCATGAATTCTTGTCCTTTCAGATAAAGAATTACTTTCTTGCAAGTAACTTGCCATCTGCAGATAGGCCAGTAAACAAGCAACACATACTGTGTCAGTGTGCTGCCTGAACATATCTAAAAAGGAGTGATAAAGAGAAGTTCTACATTCCTTTCAAAAGTTACTCCCAGAGCTCACAGCTGCTGTCTGATAGTGACCTTCCACGAGAAGTTAGGCTCCTAAATAAGGTGATCTGAGTCAGCCTCTGAAAGTGTCTGTCTAAATCCACTGATTATATAAGAAGATACTCATGTCTCAAGTGAGCTGGGAAGATGAGAGGGTGCTACACAGTACATCCTTCTTTCCTGCCCTGGTTGACCAGAAAATACAACAGTTACCTTCTGCCAGGCTTTCTTCCCACAGGAAAAAAGAAAAGCATGGGGAAGAAGTGGGGTGGGGTAGACATGCCTGAGCCTCACCATGACTGAGAGCCAGGACATGCCCACACCATGTAGCCAGACTTAGAAAGTGCTAAATACTCCTTTTTATAGGCAGGTTAAGTTATCTGCTTTAAATTTAAGCCATGACAATTCCTCTTTCCCAAGCTACATGCAGAAGTATATTCAAGATGTATGAAAAAAGTGAAGGGACTTTTTTTTAATCATCCACTGTATACAGAGTTAGTCTGCCCATGAAATTCTCAGTGATGACTATTAAATCACATTCATCCCCAAGCTGTTCCAAAATCTGAACAAATTTCATATTCTTCTCTTCCACTTTTTCCTCTGCAAAAATACACCCCCACACGAGAAGTCAGGTGTGTGACACATGACACACAAGGCTATGTCCCTTACCTGACACATGAGGCACATTCACTGTCATGTCATTCAGTAACACACTGCCATCTGATCTGAAAACCACCACCTGTATAATAGCAAATAGAATCAATGAGGTTCCAAGTACTGAGAGGAAAAGGAACTAATAAAAAAAAATTAAGAGGGGAGACATTTTGCACATTTAGACTGTGACTAGAACGTAAAATCCTTGAAAGGAAGAATCTGTCTGAAAATTGAATGCGGCCGCAGACCTGTAGGATACAAGCAAGGTTTCATCTTGCTATTCAGTGTTTCACTTACACCTGCCTACAACAATTTATAGCAGTAACGAAATGCAAAACTCATTTATACTGGACATCTTGGGATCAGTAAGTGAAAGAAAATATTGGGCCTTCAGGATCTATAGCAAGTTCCTATTCCCTATAAAAGCATGTGCCACAGCTTCAGTGTAATGGTTTAGTATGATTCTGGCACAGTAAGAAAGCAGTTTGTTTAACTTCCTCATAAAATGCTAGTCTGTACATACAGAAACATAAAATGATGGGTTTCTGATTTGGTTTGATTTTGTTCTAATTATGCTGGCAAGGACATGGAAGACACAGGAGGAAAATTATGTGTACATGTATGTAAAATTATGTATATATATAGTCTAGATATTCCCATAACCAAACAGCATACTAAAGTGAATGAAAATATAAATATTTAAGAAGGTTGGATTGTATTAACATCCAAAGGTGGAATCTCTTCTGAAAAAGAGTAATTAGATCTATAAAATGATATCTGCATAAAGTAAAATACTGTGAGGGGAGGAAGAATGGTACTCTTACTTCCAGCCAGTCCGGAATACAGTGAGAATAATCATACAGTACAAAGCAGAGAAGGGAAGAGGGGAAAATGTCAGCTTATTTGAATCTCATCTTTTGTTCAGTTTAGGTCTATTTTGAGTTCTTGAGGCAGAAGTCTGAGTTGGTTTTCAGCCTGTCTGAGGTGCCTTATCTATCCACAATAGCAACTCCAGAAGAATTAGTTATTGCTCCACAGTAAGAGAAATATGCTAATTTTCAACATATCTAGCAGAACCCACAGCACACTTACATTTTTTTTGTGGTCTACTAACAGCACAACAGTCTTCAAACAGGTTTGCCTGTCTGTGGAGCCACAGGGAGCCAGCTCTGCCAGGAGAGCATGACTGTCATTTACAGTACCCTACAGTCACAGGGAAATAAATGTCCATTAGTCCAATCAAAAATCTCACAAGATGATTTCCAAAACAAAGACTAAAGTCATTAGTTACAATAACAATTACTATAGAACTTAGCTATTAAGACCACCATTTCAGCACTGGCTCTGGAAGCTGAACCGTCTTTCAAACAAATTCAGTGGTATGGTTTTTAGTTCAAGACATTTGTCATTCTCTAGAACAGGCAACAGATATTTTAGGGACAGATGAATGAAATAGCTGCCTAGCTCCTTTCCCTAGCTGACTTTGACACTCAGACACAGAAACAGCTATTACAAATCTGGCTGAGAGCTTCTAATCCCGAGAACTGCCAATTTTTGCAGTCTACCTATCCATGCAGCCAGAGTGATCCTTTGATTTCTTATACATGAAGGACTCCGCTAGATAATGACAGCATACGTAGTCTACTATCTGACTAAGTTAACCACCCATTGCAGTAAGTGCCCAACTCCCGCCTAGGGCTGTTACAGCCCACCCAGTACAGCTTTTAACATTTCTGCTTCCCACATCCCATAAAAATGGAATAAAACAACAATTCACAGCTGTTACACATCAGTGCACAGACACTTGTATTTACAAGAGAAAAGCCCTACAGTACACAGTACCTTGGCTAACACATAGTAACAGTCTCCATGGAAGGTGTATTTCTTCCCATCAAAGGTGGTAATATGGGAACCTCCTTCCAGTGAACATGTGCCTGGACAGGGTAGATCTTTGCACGTCCACCTGCCTGAATCACAGGTGCTATAAACAGACAAATAATTAAAAAAATGCTTGTGGATATTACAGGAGCTGAGAGCACTGAAAGAATCTGTATACATAGCAAACAGCAAGATATCCCCAGGTGTTTTAAAACTGTATCTTTGACCATTTCCTTAAGATTTCCCCTCTGCCATATGCCATAGCTACAATAAAACTTTTCAGAAAATTGGTTGTATAGACACACAACATAAACATTAAATTCAGAATGTTTTCAGGAAGTTTCCTATGACTAAGTGGAAGATTGAAAAACACAGACCCATTTACAATCATTCAAAGAAATGTGTATAAACAAGCATGATCCTTACCATTCTTCACATTCATTGGTAATGCTTTCTCCAGGTGAATACTCCTTTCCATGGAGTTTGCAGTGGCACTGACTAGCAGGTATGCAGCCTTTTTCAGTAATATCATCATACACAGTTCCTGTAAGGCACAACAGTAAACTATTCCAGCTCTTTCTGAAATAAGCAATTTCCACAGAAGAAAGTCTCAGAGGAGGCATGGTCTCAACTTGACACAGAAAGCAGAGGCTGAGATTATCAAAACTGTGAAGAATACTGTTTCTACTTTTTGTAATACAAGACACATGGAAAACACTTTTATCCAGCTTTGAAAATCTAAGTCTATCCATTTATAGAACTATACACAGATGAAAAGCTTAACATAAGTATACAAGAACAATCTCAGAATTTTACATGTTTAGATTTTCAGTCCTTCTGGCATACTCTGTAGACTATCATTGTAAACTTTTTTCCTAAGGTTGACAATAAGTTTGAGAATTTCACTCACTGTCCCTCATTATCATTCTCTTGGCAAATGATGTCCATTGTCTCAGAATTATTCAACCTAAACCCCATGATTTTCTATATATTAGCAGAAGTTCATTTGTTGAGAAGTAAAAAGCAGATTTATTACCTGTCATTGTGTTAATATGATTTAACTATAAAATCATTGATTAATTAATCAATTATGACCTCCTTTTTTAAAAACCTTATGATTATGTTCCCCTAGGGGGGGAAATAATGAGTAGCAGTACTAATTTTTAAGATATAATTTGACTATTTTAGCTTTGACTTCCTTTGCCAGAGTCCTTGGTTTTGTTCCAGGTACAATGACTAGAATAACACTTGCCTTCAGGGCAGAAACAACCATCCATGTAGTGTTCCTCACAAAGGCTGCTGATCTCCAAGTGTGAGCAAGTATCCATGCAGGGTGAACTGCTTTCTTTATAGATCATGGTATCAGGACAGGTCTTGGCTGAAAGAATGAGAAAGATGCCACCAGTTACTTGAGTGTAAAGTCCATCATTCCTCAGAAACCACAGATCATATCCCCTACTCCCCTCAAGTCAGTGGTGTCCTAAGCCAGACTCCATCTGGCAAAGCATGTTTGTCTGTTTCTGAACTGCTTTCCCTGCTTTTTATGTTTTCATCTTTTGGTCTTGAATAGATCAAATTATCCCAGTCATCTGCAGCATGAGACCTTACAGTTTTTCAATGGGAACAGAATTTCTACTTGCTGAAAAAGTTTTCTTAATAACAAGGGTAATAGAAGAAGAAAACAGGAAGAACATAGTATGTAGTTTATTGCACTACTGGTATGAAATTTATAATATATGCCTATAGTTTTGTAAAGAAGGAATGAATTTAAATGTTTAACAGTGCTACATCCATGAAATATTTGTTTCTTTTGTAGAATTTATATATCTACTTACGGCAAAAGTACTGTGTCCTCCATTCACCCGGCCGGCCACCTGCATGCGAACACTGGCGAGAATACTGAGAGATGGTGCTGCAGAGGCAGAAGGAGTCCTCATTTCCATTGCATGCACACTTGTCCTGCATGCAGGCTTGGATGTACATTTCCAAATTAAGACGTAACCGACAATCAGCAAATGCAGAGGAGGTCAGCAACCTCTCACACTCATCACGCTAAGGAGGAAGAGTAATAGTATTTAAGAGATTTGTAAGTGCCTGAGCTTCTAGACACTTCCTGTCTTGTCATAAAAACTGTTGTATTCTGAACAGCAACAGTTATTCAAGAAAGGAATAAGAAACCATTAGCCCTAGAAGGGACAAAGTCTTCCCAGCTCCTCACACACTAACTCCCCATAGCACAAGGATGTCTCCATGTGCCCATGCAAGTGAAGTTCACCACTAGGAATACTCACATGCCTGTTACAGCTTGGAAGAGCCTGAGTTTCATCAGGATCTTCACATTTGGCATGGGGTTTGCTGATCTTCTGTAAATTCCCATACGTAATTGAATTGTAGCTTGCAGCTATAAGAAAAAATTACAAAGAGGACTTGCTGAGCCCCAAAAATTGACAACAAGGAGCAGATGATACCTGGCACTCTACTGATCAAGGAAAACAGTTATTATGGTATCAAATATGCCTGTCAGACACAGGTCTCTGCTCTGAATTACGTCTATTATGTCTAAGAGTGCTTAAAAATTTCAAGTGGTAATGAGAAAAGAAGGCCAGTAAAGAAAAGAACATGATTCATCTGGAATAAAATAACCTTAGACCAGGAGTGCAGCATTGAAACATACTGTTTATTCCAGGCCAATCACAGAAATCTCTCACATGAAATTTGCTCTCCTGTGATACTCCTATGCACAATGCTTATCAGCCTATCTTCTGTGATAACTGTCAGTATGGTAGGATGACTCACCTCCATTGAAAAACTCATTGTAGATTGGAACTCCATTGTAATCCCCACAGAGACCACATGTATGGTTATTAAATTTGCTGTCCAGCTCCACCTAGGTAATGGAAAGAAAAAGAAAAAACAGAAGAGAATTACCTGGAGCATGAAGACATTCCAAAGCAAATAGGTTTACTCGAAAGGGAAGTTGCCAAATGACAGAAGTGATGGTGAACCCAAAACTCTTAGAGAAGTAGCTATTGCAAATGAATTTGTAACATAGTTAATAAACACACAGTTAGATGCAAAAAGTAACACAGAAAACAGAAAGAAGTGACTGAAGCTCCTGTATTTCAATAATGGCAGTAACCACCATGGTGATAAAGATGAAAAGGAAAGCATTCTTAAAATCACAGGACTTTTTTTTTTTCTTCTTCTCCTTTTTTTCCATACTGGGATAAAATTTAAGTCTTGCTATAAATTAGGAAAGTCAATGATGGCAGTCCTTTAAAAGACAAATGAAGGAAAATGCAGATTGGATTGTTGGGGTGCTATAGCAAAAACATTAGCTATTTCTCAGAAAGCTCCTCCTCCCTTTCTTGAGACCAGTAAGATCATCTGCATGCCATACTGCTACCTCTATCACATTGCAGAGAAAGGAGTTTTATGTTTTTAAAGTAAGGTACTATGAGTGTCAGTTGGATGAGTCAGCCTAGCTCTGTTCAGTTCATGAGATTGTACTTCTGTTCAGTATACAGTAGTCTGTTAAACCCAGGAAATACCAATAAAAAAAACTTGGATCATACATACCATCAGTGCATCTTCCTGATTCCATATCAGAGTCAGGCCTAATTTAGCATAAACCTTGGTGTAAATGTCATTGCTCTCAATGAGCACACCAGAGCTGTAGTAAGGTGTCTTCACACTAAGAAGAAAATCAGAGACTTTGCATTAGTACAGACATATAAGGGATGATATGAATGTCTGTAATAAGCCAAATACCCTAATGAATAGAGAAACCAGTCTCTGTCTACCTGATCCTAGCTGCACAGGAAGCCTTGTTTTAATGAGGCATAAAATCCTCTCTCTCTGACACTTGACATGATAACTCATTGCCTTTAAAAGGTAAAGCAATTTCAGAGGCAAAGCCTCTCCAAGGGTACAGGTTCTTTAAGAAAAAAGCCAAAATGTCAGATGTTTTCAACTTAATCAAAGGAAAATCCATCATCATTGTGGTATTAACAGAGGATATTCAAACACTCCCTAATAATTTACTTCAATGAAAGTAACAACATAAATGGAAGTTTTTCTTTAGCAAAAGATCTGACAATCATTTCAGAGAGAATGAATGTTCCTTTGCAAAGATCTTCCTCCTCAAGAGAGAGTTCAAAAAGCACAGGCAGATACAAGGACTGCCAACAGAAGTTTGAAAAGAAAGGAGCATGTTAAGAGGAATTCAGTAGTTTGTTTCAGTAGTTAGTTCATTAGTTTTCGGTTGATAGGACCAAGCTTGTTAATGGTGACAACAAGGCATCTTAATGTGACATAAGATATTTTGCAGAAGGCTGAGTGTAGATGTTTTTGTCTGATAAAGAATCATTTCACCAGATCTCTCTCCTGCTCTTGTACGTCTGTCTTACAGTGCACTATGTAGCAAGTCCCACTGCTGAATTTCATTCAGCAATAAAGGGATTGTGGCAAGCAGCCTCATCCTATAAAGTCTAAAGAACTAGAGCCTGTTCAGACAGAAGTAGTGTGAACTGGAATCCAGTCAAATTAACCAGTTCATTTTCTACAGATTTGCCAATATAATTGTTACCTATTGATTGATGTATGTCTATGCACATCTCCTCTTAACTAGTCTCTTGACTGGGAGAACTTTATCTCCTAATGTCCTATCACTGGGATTTTTCCAACTATTTACCTCAGGCGTTTTTAACATGGCTAAATCACTTACACATCTAAATATTAGGCGGGAACTCAGAAGCCATTATTTCTACTTTTGGCTGCATTGTTCATCCTCTGGACAATGAGGCCTTATGAGATCATGTTTTTGGAGAGGGATTATAAAACATTGGGCAGCTTTTCACCTTTCAGCTATCACAGCATGGAATATTTATCTTTTTTTCTAATACTAGGACATTCAATCAATCAGTGGATCAGGTACCAAAAGGCAAATTCATACATTTTTCTACTTTACAGTTTTCACTTCAGTAGTGTGAAATGCTATTTTACATGACAATGCATCATATGCCATTTAAAGAGCAACATGGGAAATTAAGTTCTACAAAAAACCTAAATCCCCCATGCAGCAAAAACCTGTTCAGAAGGGATCTATTGTTTTATGAACACTACCTAAAACAAAAAGAGGCTTGGGTTAAGAAAAACAATTTTTAAAGGATTTCTAAACTTGTTTTTCATGGAGTTCTTTCTAAGACTTGAGTACACAATAAAGGGATTTTTCAATTTGGGGCAAGAATGCATTTTTTATAACTTCATGTCATTTTGTTATGCATTCTGGTATGATCCTTGGAAAACTGAATGTTATTTTCTATCTTTGAACAGATTTTCATTGCAGTGGCTTCCAAACTTCAGGGCAGAAGCTGGACAAAACCCAGTCCTACAATGACAATAGAAAGGATTTTTTTTTTAAATTATACTAAGACATACTAACAGCCAGTTTCTTCCATCTTCAGAATTATGTCTGAACGTATGAGTTTCTTCACCTGTTTCAGTGTGTATATATACACACACTGAAAGGATAGGCTAATGATAGGAAAGGTTAGGTTAAGACACTACTTGGCACCAGTAATGGCATCAAACTAGTTCTTTGTGTGGCCATGTTACAGGAGGAGAAAAATACTACCGCTCACTGTGAGAAAGTACATATAACATATACATATACATACCACATACAAATTCGTGTAAATTTTGACCTGCATTATATCTGTTATAATCCCTTGAGGAATGGCCATCGGACCTTAAAGAATTATTTATGAAGATCAGAAAAAAACACCTCTCTTCTGCCACAAAATAAGAGAAAAAGACCCCAGAAAAATGCATCTTCATTTTTGAGGATTTGCTAGACCATCTGCTAAGGTAAACTCAAGGTGATGCCATAAAACAAATGAAGCTATGTCATTCTATACCAGTGAAAGATCTGTCTCATAAGCTGCATTGTTTCCTGCACAACCAGAAGAAGAACAATTCACTCAAACCTCTTCCTGACTTGCATTTAAATAATCCCTTATGCCAGTGTAGAAATGACGATTAATACTAAAGCCCCTCCCCAAAGTAATTTTTATGCTGGATTTCAAAGGGCTTTTTTTTGCTTGTGGAAATGCTTGTAGCAGTTACCTTAATGGTATAAAGACAGCTGTGTAAAGAATCAATCCTGCTTTTATCTTCCCAGCACATTTCTCTGAAATATTATTATACTAAAGGAACTTACATCCGCCCATCCACCACTGCCAGTTTTGGTTTGAGGTACACTGTAAAGTCCTTGATTGTTATCAGAATATACTGGATCTCAGGGTGGTTATCGCTCTTCAGAGCACGCTGAATGTGGACAGAGAACTCCTTGTAAGACTCTCGGCAGTCAGAAGCAAAATTATACTCGCAAATGCCAGGGAATTGATAGATGTCTCCATCAAAAGTTTTGAAATGGTTGTTTCCCCAAGTGCTGCAGACATAGTGGCCATGGTTTCTTGTCCTTCCTGTTAAGTGATGAAAAAGAACTAGGCATGAAAAAAGTGAAATGAACAAGCTAGTGTCAAGAAAAGGTAAAAGTGTTGCATTTTACAGTAGAAACTACTTGCAACGTGTGCAGTGATTCCACAGATCTCAAGCCTGATCAAGTATCTGCCTATTAAGCAGAAGAGATGTGCATCTCTAATGGAAAATAAGACATTAACAAATACTGCTGAGACCTGGGTATATCTTATAATCCTCACTGAGGTCAAGGAACTTGTCTGCATGAGGTGGGGAAACTTAACTCTCTGACCACTAACAAGCTGGTGCATCAGTGCAACGGAGCTGCTTTGCCAAACATAGGAATTTTTTCAGAATCACAGTATTATTTTTAGCAATATTAAATATTTCTAAGAGCTGTTTTCTTCCCTGATGCAACATGGACTAGAAAGAAAACACAGTTTGGAAACCAAGGAAGTACCACTCCTACTCTGGAAGGCAAATAGTTTAAATGTTATGAAAGGACTTTTGCACAACAGGAGTTTTTCAAGAATTCCTTCTTTTCCTAACAGAAGTAGTGATTTCTATTACTACAGAATAGAAATTCTTCAGAAGATAGGTCAGAAAATAACTATAGTAGGAGCAAAAAAAAAAAAAATTTTTTTTTTGCAATAGCAAAAGATGAAGATATTTGTTCCCTTCCCAGCCATCTATACCAACAAATAGTACAAATTAACACAGTATCTGATAAATCTCAAGATGCTATAGATTAGGGGTGAACATAAAAGCTGAGCATACTTGAGAAGCTTGCCAAGGTACCAAAAGCATACATGCCTCTCATCTTCACATGATTTTCTTGTGTGTTTAATTTGAGAAAGTGAAACTACCAAAGGGACCTCTAAGTTATTGTACTTCGATGGTATCAATCATACCAGATACATCTGGCCAAGCTGGTATGCTTCTCTCCCTAGAAGGAAGGCTACACAGAGATTCTCCCAGAGCTCACAGCTGGGATACTAAATGCAAAATAATGCTTTCCTCCCATTGCTGAATTCAAGACGCAGCAGACCAAGACTAATATCCCAAACCTGATCACTGCACAAAATTCATCACCTATTCCTCGAAAAATAGTTTTCAGTATGAGAGCTCCATTTCAACACTTCAAACAAAGTTGATAACAAATAGAGTAAATTAGAGCTTTTACAAAAGGATTATTAATGTCCTGAATGGCAAAATGAGCTTTGTCCAATGTTACTACATTAATTTTTGAAGAAAGTATTTATGTCATTCCAAAGTAACAGAAGGCACAATCATCCACTTTCTTCATTGCTGTAACAATGTACCTCCCAAACTCCTATAGTTGCTTTCTGCCAAACAGTTGCCATGCCTAGGAAAGTCTCAACACATGGAAAGAAAAGTAACACTGAAAATATTTTCCAAGCACATCAAACTAGAGATTAATGCAGTAGACATAGGTACTAATCTCTCCAAAAAGAGCAGTATCTACCTATGTTGGCTGAGCTACGTAGCCTCCGTATTTGAGAGTTTAAGAAATTTAAGGCATGTTAAAACTTCAGTTCATTATTTAAATGCACTGCCTCCTTCGACCTCTGCAGTGGTATTTTAATTCTCTCCCTCTTTCCCAGGAGGCAATCTGCTACCATTTCATTTCTAGAGCTTACCTTTTCTTATTTCATTTGCATAGGAAAGGGCCAGCCAGAGCATAAAAAGGCTGGCAACTCTTAGCCCCATGGTGACTAAGGTGAGTGAACTGGGAACTCCACTGAAAATTTTTCTTTATATAATATCCACTGACGTAATTGATTCTATCACAGGGGAGGAGATACAAAGGGAGGAGGAAAGAGGAGGGGTAAAAAAATAGGCGTGATATTTACAGAAGACAAGAAGTAAACAGACAGGTATTTTTCACCATAAATGAAGGAATTCATTATACAGGAAATGGTATAATATTGACTCAGTAATCATGCAATTTTTTATTGCTCTATTTAATCTACAGGGTGCTATGCTTTTAAACCCTTCAAATGCTCATGCCAAGTTTAACCTTCAGTAAATCCTATAACAAATAGTGAATTTTGGAGTGGCTGAACAAAGAAATCCCTTGAAGGAAGTTTATGATGAGATACCCTCAAACAATGGCTTCAAAGCCAAAGGATTCTTCAATTTTCACCATCACATAGAATGATTTCTGTAAAAATTAAACAATGCTTGTGAAGCTCCTTGTAGAAAACAGTAACCCTTACAAATAAAAATGATACACCATGCATGGTAAAATTATTTTGCAAGCAATTGTTGGATTCCTTTAATTTGTAAAGCTCTGGGGAGCATCTAAAACAAGGTATAGCCCATACTGCATATTGTGCCCAAAACATAATTGAGATGGGATGACAAGGTAAGTTCAAGGAATTCACAGCAAAAGAAATGCTCTATCGAACATTGTCATGGTATAACAGAAAGTCCACCAAAAGGTTGTAGAGGCTTTCACAACATAATAAGCTTTAGTGGAAAAAAAAAAAAGGAAAAAGGGGAAAACATTACAGTCCAGATGGAATAACAATTGTTTTCAGACAGAATCCCCCTAAACAGCTTGTTCTTGCTTATCTTCTACATGAATGATAAATTTACAGTCTACTGTCCCACAACAGATCCTACAAAAGCTATAGGGTCAGCTTTGCTTTGTGCAGAGAAAGATGAAGAGGGTCCTTAGGAGGAGAAGAAAGCAGAAAACAGAACCAGGAACCAGTTCAGAATGCTGCTTCAGAAATACAAGATTTCCACATGCACTGTATTTTACTCTGAAAAGTTCCTTTGAGAAAGTGTTTCTGGAACTCTCTTCAGAAGACAAAACACAGGCTCCTTGAGGTAAAATTCACTTATTTCAACAGATCTTTTAACACGCCTGCTTCTTGGTACTAACAGGGCTTACTTCTTAAAGCTCCCAGGCCAGGCTCTGTATTTTCTCATCAAAAGTTTCTCAGTGCAGTGTCTAGAAATCTCTAATCCTCTTAATTGTTCAGTGTTCCTTACTTTCATTGCTCAAATTACAAGTAGAACTTTTATATTTTGTAAAACACCAAGGAAACTCTTCACTTAGCCCTTTTGGCTGCTCTGGTCAACTAGAAACACCCTTTTGTCATAAAGGCATGGTCTTTAGCTGTTGTTTTATTTTATTTGCTATTTTTATCTCAAGTACAGCCTAGCCTCAACCCGAACATCTTCCTGTTTTCCCTCAATACATCTCAAAAGGTTTTAGACTTTCTGCTTTTCCTGTTTGAGGAGACAGATTTGCACTTCTCTCACCCTTACCTAGGGTATCATTCACTCAACACTCATGACTGAAATTAAGTAGTCACCCTTTTCTCCTTTGGGAGTCTATCACTAGAAGAATATAGAATTGATTTTCCTTCTTGGAATATAAAAATAAAAACAGTAATAACCAGTTAGAACAAACGATTTAGAGAAAAAAGAAGAAACACTGTCTACAGAGACCATTACTTGATGGTTACTTTAGCAGGTCTAACTTCTTATGACACCTCAGAGATATCTCCCGTTGTGGAATTTTCTGTCTTTTATGCCACCAAAACTCTTATTTCAGAAATGTTTTCTAAAAGTACTTAGGAGATTCCCAAAAGACTTTATTTTGAGCTTTTCCTTTCCTCCCTGTGTTTTTCCAGATAGTCTCCTGTCTGGAACTACTATTGCCCCAGAAAAAAGAGTCTCTGTGACTTAATTCATATACAGTCTTTGCAAACTGTAACAGCAACTCCATGTACACAGCAGAACTGACCCCTTTTTAGATTAAATTGGATGTGCATGCTTACAGGTATAAGTTGGAAATGTACATATTTTCCATTCAGGTTTCTTTACCATGAAACTTCTAGATCTGGAACCAGCACCATTGATTTTCTGGGACTGTGAAAGATAATAATCCTTCACCTAAAGATGCACTATCCCTCAGTTCAATATACAGGTGTTTTTCTCCTATGCAGGTGAGAGATGCACCTCTCTTTGGGTGATATGGATAGATCTAACCCCTTGAAGAGCTACTCTTAGCCACTAAATTTTAGTGACTGATTTTCTCTGCTCCTGCTCTGGCCTGCCTGTACAGGGAGCATGATTCCTTCTTGGGCTATAAGGTTAAAACAGGACTATTTTCCTTCTCCAGTCTTTTCTTCTCAGAGTGACCAACAACTTCTCATTGTCCCTTCTTCTGACATATAGGAAGCTGTGTCTCGCTGTGACATCCCAAACTGGATAATAAAGGAAAGCAACATGCCTTTGAGCATTGAGACCACTCTTACAGAATTTGCACTCAAGCTTACATGGCTATGCTGATCTGAGGAGAAGTGAGTACAGATCCTTATCTTCACAATTCACAAGTATTTGTACTTTTTCTAGCACTAGAAAGTGTCCTAAAATATACCATCTCTGTTTCCTTATTGCCAGGAGGGTAATGAACCTGTCTACCAGCTGCTTTATATGCCTTTCAGAAATAATCAGTCTTTGAAGTAGACATCATCACCTGTTTTATTTCATGCTCAGCTACCTTACAGTTTATTGGATTACGCATTTTAATCCAGAAGAATCTTACTGTTAATGCACAGATAACTCTACATCCATATGTATGCATTAATTTATTTACTATAAATTGTTTGACAACCAGAAGTAATCAATCCATTTTGGAACAAAGATAATTCTGCTTTAGCATTAGCATCTTTGCTTTAAGCTTACATCAATTCTCTACATCTGAGTTGACCTGTCTATGGAACTTCATGCCATTCATTGCTTCTGGTCATCTTAATCAGAAGTCATCTTCCTTTTTCCAATACCAGGTGTTCATTTACCTTTAACACCAATGATACTTCTTCTTATAATTCTGCATGCACTTCAATCCTCTCCCAGTAGGGACACTACGACTGAAAACATATGGAATCCTAACTGGGTAGAAGGTATCACTGTGCAAGTAGCATCACCAGAACAAGCGATGAGAAGGAGTGTTTTCATATTTAGGTCCCACTGCTGAGTCTTAACAGAGATAGTTTTTTAAAAGTTCCTGAAGTCCATGAGTAGAAATATAAGTTCCCATAATCTTTCACTATATGCCTGACCGAGGAGACCCAACACCAGTGCTACAACAGCCAATGCTAAAATTCAAAGTTTAAAAAAAAAGTTGATTGCATGGCAAGTGTGTTTGTTATAGCAGCAGATGCAGAGGGAGAGATTAAATATGTGTTTTGAGTTATAGCTGTGTCAACGCATTGAGTGTTTCCCTACCCTTAAACTTTTATGAGACTATTTCTAATCATTCCATCAGCATAGCTAACTTTTAATGTTCATATTAATTACAGTGTAAATATATTTTGCAGTATACTTTCTGTTAAAAAGAGAACCTACACAGAAGATTATCTTCATTCTGACTCACACCGCAGAAGAAAATGGCCTGTATGGAAAATTTATATTACTTTAAGATAAAATTAAGCAGACACCTGGCTAAGCTTATTGTTTTAGGAAGAATAAATAATTTTTCAAGAATTTGGGGTCTGTTTCTATCTCTTAACATAACATACCAAGAGAGAATCTCATTGCAGTCTTGTCACAGTAATCCCAGGATGACCACTGTACAAATACCTCAGAAAGTACAATTATGCCTGGTGACTGAAATTTTTTCCACATCTGTTTTTGTATTTTTGACTTGCTGCTGATCACAGGCTGTCAAACCAGATGTTGCTCTGCAGAAGTAGCCATGGGATTTTGTTCTGTTACTCTTCCACCTGCCAGCATTTCACCAGAGCACACAAAGCCTTCCACATGACCATCCAATGGCACGATATACACATTACTCCCCTTATCTCAAGCACAGAGATGGGTTGTCTGAACTCCCTGGCAGCCATTCTAAAATAGCTATGGCAAAATATAGGCAGGTTATGAATTAAGAGATGTCTGACACACAATCACAGTACTTCCTTGACTGAGACACCAGTAAGCACTCTATAGCACACCTTGACAAAAACTTAAGAAAGCACAGAGACAAGCAGCAGAAGGCTGAACAGTGCATGAAAGAGAGTGTTAAAGCAATGATGTAGAAGTAATGGGGATGCATTTCCTTTTGATATATATGCTGTCAACAGATTAACCTAAAATTATCAACACAAAAGGAGCCAGTATTTATATGGATGTACAACTGGTATAAAATTACTGAAATTATTAATTTATGGGTTTTATGTTATTAAAGAATTAGAAAAAACTGGCAAAAACCATGGCTATAACCAATTTATTGCTCTTTCAGACTTTCTAATGGGAAGTCACTAGTTACTGTTTTTATGAAAAGAACTTTAATACACAGAATGTCCATATAAATGTATTCAACAGTCAAGCTTTTATTTAAGGCAATGTTACAAAAACCCACATGCTTTTGATTGATCCTAGGTCCCTTCTGGAAATGGGCTAATATCATGTAATTAATTATCCTATCATTTTACCCTAAGGTATTTGATTTCTCATAGGACTAATCTCAGCTCTACCACTAATTTCATCGCTGTGAACTTGAGCAAGTCTTTGGGTTACTGGCATTCTTTTTTATCCAAACAAATACAATAGTGTAAGGTATCTGCTGATGCTAGTTAGAGTATAACATTCTCACATGCCCTTCCTTAAATGGTTTGGCGTAGAAATTTTAAGATTAGCATCCATTTTCCACTCATAATACTTCCTTCTTTTTGTTGGTAGCTCATACT